CTGCGACACAATTCTGCTTTTTGATTGCGAACACACCGCCATTATACTTTGTCAGTTTGTCTCAAAACCCTTGGTAAGTTGTAAAATTAAATGAACCTCAAATCGTTACACTTTTGCTTCTATTGAATTTTTTATTTTTATAAGGGTAATTTACTAAAACATCACCTGTAGTTTGCAATTAATTTATTTAATCAACCTTCTATGAGAGAAAGTAAAAAATGACAGTTTTAATCCTAACATCCATTCAAATAAATTTAATAAAAAACTAAAAACAAAAATGCCATTTTTTATCTTAGTAAAATATGAACAATCACGGTTCATGCCTATGAACAATCACGGCTTTTCTTAATGAAAAACCAATTAAGTAAATAAGTTGCAAATTATAAAGGGTGTTTTAGTAAAATACAAACTATAGGGTAGGTTTAAGTAAATCTGTGAAATTATAGGGGTTGTTCTAGTAAATGACCCTTTTTTATAACTAATTATTATGTTACTTTTGTCAAGAGGTGTAAAGTGAGCCATGCCGGGCTAGCATGGCACGGCCCGTGGGCAGCTCGCACTTTATGCGGGCCATGCCGTGCTGGCTCGCAGGCCATCACAGGCCATTCCCCCCTCCTGGGTGAAAATTTTGGGGGTTGGCCCGAGCCCATGGGCCAAGCCTTGGGCCGGGTCGGGCCGTGTATCGGGCCAAAGCTATTTATTTAAATAATTGACAAGAAAACTTAAAATTTTAATTTTATATGAATTTTGTGTATAAAATTGCTTATATATACAATAATTAAATAAATTAGTATAATAAAATTTTAAAAAATATTTATTTTATTAATATATTATTATATAATTATAATATATATAAAATATATATATGGGTCGTGTTGGGCCGGGCTGCGGGCGGTACGACCTACTCAGTCGTGCCATGTCGTGCTGGCCCATGGACCTAAAATCCCAGGCCCAGCACGACCCGCATGGTCGTGCCGGACCTGGCATAGCTTGCAGGCCGTCGTGTCAGGTCGTACCAAGCCGGTCCAAGTTCGTGCCGCCAACCCGATTTACACCTCTACTTCTGTCCTTTTTGCAACAAAATTTTCATTTATTTGACTCTTCTAATTTGTTTTGGTATAAATTGAAAGGAAAACGAAAGTTTTTGTAGTAAAAATGGCAAAGATATAGCTCAACACATGAAAAATTTTTTATCCATTAATGCAGCATTCGCATGAAAAGTGTTTCAAACTTAGGAGTGTTCTGTTATGTGGATGAGAAATTGGTGGGTGTGGACCGGTCCACACCACACCCTGTGATAGGAACCAATCCACACCACATCACAGTCCACAACTGTTCTAAATTGTGGATAAACTGTGTGGATTGGACCAGCCCACACCCACAGTGGCGTTCTATAGTGTGGTGTTGTATCTCATGTACATTTTATAAATGATCTACACCGACATTTTGAAAAACGATCCAAAAACAGAACCGTTCTGGCCACCAGTTTTCGGGTTGACGGTCCGACCGTTCGATTCGAACGGACGGCCCGTTCTGACAAACAAATAAAAAAAAATAAAAAACGGTAAAAAACCACTGAATGGGATGATGGTTTGACCACTCGGGTCAATGGGTTGTTTTTTTCAATGGTTTTTAGCCAAAAATCGGGTTTGGGGTAAAATGGGACCGCTTGCCTAGACGGTTCCCGGGCTGAACGGTATGACCGTTCGAGTCAACGACGGTTCGAAAACCTTGATCTACATAGTTAATCATAAATATCTAATTTTTGCATTTTATATGATAAATATATTAAAAATGCATCAACGAATTAATATTAACAATGAATATTAATTTTTTATAAAAACAATAATTAAATAATTAAATTTAAGAAAATTATATTTAAAATATAATTTTATTGATAAAACATTAAAATTTTAAAAAATAAAAATTTAATTAAAATAATTAATATTTTATTGACAAAAATATTAAAATGTGAAACAGACAATATAGTAGCCTTTTAGGAAAAGTGTGAAGTAAGGGATCAAAAATCAAGTGTGGATGGTCCCCAACCACGAGATTTTATCATGGATGAGAAATTAAGGTGTGGACGCTGTCCACACTATATTAAGGTGTGGATTCCTGTTCACACCCAGCCGAACGCAACTAAATCCCGTCCACAAGATTTAAGCGGTTCCAAACACCGCCTTAGGCTACATAAATGAACAACAGGCTGATCCAAATATTTCTTATGAAACTCTTTGGGGGGTAGTTACGCTTAATAACTTTTTAATTTCTAAAATTTTATAAGGAAAATTACAAATAGGTAGCCCAACAACCAAACACCCTTAACTAACCCTATTACTATCTGAACTTGAATTGGGTTAAGGGTAGACCTGGTCCCGACACAATAACAAAACACCCAAGCCCAGTTCTGACCCAAAACCAACCCTATTATTATCTGATAAATAAAACCTATAATTAACAAGCCTTTGGCCGGGTAATTTGACAACAAATCTGCTAGTTTTTTGTTCAATCTTCTCAAAACATCATATTATGTCCTTTGAAAGGACAACTTCAGACATTTATATGAAATTGTTACAGATTAACCATGAAAAGCATATTCAGAATATTGGAAGGTAATTTCATATATTAATATATAAGTTTTCCTTGTAAGTACTTAATCAGTTGAAGGGCTGTCTTCTTCAGCGTTTTTAAATAACTAATCCAGAGCGCCTGGCCAAGATTATCATACATCTTTGACTTCTTATACAACTAAACCAATTGTCAACAAACATAGCTTATATGTAATTTTTGCAGCTTCTTCAAAGCAGCTCCCAAACAGACATAACTCCTAGGATAGCTGAAGCTGCTGTTTCCTCATCACTTCTTTCTTGGAAAAACAGTTTCCATGCTCTACCAGTCAATACACATAGTCGACCAAAACATCCTCCTGATCAGTCGGCTGTGAGACTCAAGCTATCATTGCACAAACTTCTCAAGACATGTAATTAGTGGGCCTATGGGGAAACAATACCCTCAACGTCCACGCTACCAGAGAAAGCTACTTACACAAGGATGATAGAGTTATATGCAAGGAAATTGGGAATTGTGGGAGCATGCCCCTTTCATCCCTTGTTTCTATGACATTCTTTGAGTGCAAGCAACGGGTGACCTTTTGTTCAGTAGAGATGAACCACACAAATTACAAGGAGCAATTCAGGAGTACGCTTAGGCACGGTATAGTAGGACAATGGCCATAGCTTCCTTGCAATCAAGAGATACCACCTGCGCAAGGATATCTCGATTTTTCTTTGATGAGCTGCAGTTGAGATATTGAGCACTTGGTGTTTTCCACAACTTCACACCATCAAGCATCATCACATACTTCCATTACTTGATGTATTTTAGCTAGTACCTTTCAGATAAGAGGACCAATGTGGGCATATTCCACGGCACACATCCCTTGTGAAAAAGATTATTACACCCTGACACAGTCTCCACACAGTCGTCTTACACAACTGGTCCTAGGCCCAGAGAAAAGAGGGAAGTTGTTTCAGGTTCGCAGTTGGTATTTAAAGCTTTTGCTGCTCTTACCATTGTAAATTGAAAGGGCTAGAGAGAGACAAATATGGGTTGAAGCAGAAAGAACAGATTATGGCAATAAAACAGAACAGAATGGCTAATGGACGACCCCATATATTTGGGACAGGCCTAGATGATGATGATAAAATTAAAAGCGATGTTTTGGTCTTGTACAAAATGTATTCGACAACTAATGAATGGGGGTGTGCCTCCTTTATAAAAAAATGCAATGTACCCATATCACTTTCCTTCATTTAGTTTTGATTATTTTCTTCAATTTTCTTGTGGGACATCAACCTTGCAATTAAATATTTGATTGGTGACCAACCACTGAGTGCTGCATAGCTAAAAGGCAAGGTTCAAACTCCAAAGTATCATTACATAAATCACACGGTTTATAGTGATAATATTAGATAGTTTTTTTTTTTTTAAGTTAGAAATAAGTTAGAACATCTCTAGGAAGTGTATTAACACTTTAAAAAGTGGTCAGATGTCCTAGCTCCTCATGTTTAGTGTGTCAAAGGGTTCAAAAATCAATATGTATAATACATATTAATACTTCGAAGTTTGAACCTTGCTGAAGCTGAAATCTGCAATAACGGAAGCAAAATTGACAAAAGAAGGCGAGGGGGAGTGAAGCTTTAGTACGGAAAAACCCACCACCATAGTTTTTGAACCATTATTGTCCCGGATGGTCAGACCATTCATCCCAAGAACTCTCCAGGCAACAAGTTTCTTTTTACCCCAAACCCAGTCCCTGACCAAAAATCATTAAATCGATCAACAACCCATTGACCCGGACGGTCAAAGCGTTGACCCATCAACCTGTTCAATGGTTTTTTGACCATTTTTTATTTTTATTTATTTATTTTTACTTTTGATGTCAGAACAAGCCATCTATTCGAACCAGACGGTCGAACCGTCGACCTAAAAAGCGGTGGCCAGAACAGTTCCATTTCCGGGTCGTTTTTTAAAACCATGCCCACCACTCCCGTTACAGTAAGGGCCTGACTTGACGGACAATATACACAGCTCTATTAATTTTTAAGTTCAAATTTATTTACTTGTGTGGCTTTCAGATTCTATAATGGTATAACCCATCCATAGCGAAAGCCATCCCTACCCAAAAAACTTGGGGAGAATGACCGATCAGCACAGGGTCAGAATTTGTAGGCTCAAAGTACTGTCGGGGTAAATGCTAACTCGGAATTGATGCCAATTCAGATGCAGACGTTGGTGCATAGAGTGTGGATTGTGGTCCTTTTGAATGTTTATAGCTCTGCAGCGTAAATCAGAAATCTGCATTGGGCAAATCCGTACTTCTAACGAAAAACTTATAGATATTCTCAGTTCTTCAATTTTTTTTATTTTTCTTAATGGTAGAAAAACGAAATGGGAAAGAGAGCTAATTAACAAAATTTTGAGGTAACTCGGTCCAAGAAAAACCAAACAAATTTCTAGAAAGAACCTTGGGAAGAGAATCCTTTCCATCTTCCATGCCTAAGAGCAGGCATTTCCCCTCCTTTTCTTTTCTACTTGACAAGAAGGAAAAGAAAGTGCCAAATTAGAATTTCCCTACATTAGTTCAAGACCAAATCAACAAAATCCTAACTTGCTGCTGACAACCTCTTTCATGCTGAGTGCAGAGACATCTTGTTACTCCATACTAAACACGATCATTATCATATGTCCTTATTCTTCTGTCATATTCAAAACAGCATTTCCATGAATCCAATAGGTGAGGCCTCAAGCAACTCATGGACAACAATTCCCAGCAGGAATCAATAGCTAAGGAATATCAGAATATGTCAGAATATTATCTTTTGTAGGATCATTTACCTTGTATATATATACACATGAAACACTTCACAAGTATTCCTGGTATCAAAACTTTGCAGAGACAAATAGCAAATTAAAATACTGGCTTGAAGCACCAAATCACATTATCTCACCATTACTCAACCAAGTTGATCAAGGAACGCTGCCAGTTGCCAGTTGCCACATATTAGAGAACCTGCTTAGAAATTGTCATCAAGCAAGACCCTGGCTGCAGAAGTTTCAATTCTGCCAAAGATTGACTTTTAGTATCTACTTAAAGGAGCTAAGCATCCATAATCTGTGACTTGGGAATGGCCCTCTTCTGCACAAGAGAAAGTCTATGATTATCTTCAAGTATTCTCTGTACCAGATGATGAGCTTCTTTACAATGACCATGACCAACTAGGCGTAACTTCAAGGTTACACAGTGACTTGTCATACACCATAATATGTAGGAAATATGAATTTCCCGAACAATTTTGAAGTAGGAAGTGTTAGGGAGGTTTTGGTTACTCTCCAACTGCAGCATGTAGGACTAGTTTTTGGTGACTGAGCAGGTGGAACAAATCAGGGGTTGCTTACCCATTTGACAACCATAAATTTCATAATGGCAAATCCTAAGCTCTTTGTGGTGCTAATGAAATCTTTCAATCTCTTAAGCAACTTCCTTTAGAGAAAGGACATCATCACGTGGATGAGCTTCTTCCACCCAAACTTCAATTTCATCTCCAATCTGTGAACCTACAGATACCCATGCAGAAGCTTGAATTCCAACCTGCACAATTTAACTTTCAAAGATAAATAAAAATATATACCTATTTAACAAGTTGTGATAGAAAACATTTACAAGGAGATTTAACCATGACAGTTGACCTATACCCATGTAGGGGAAAGCTATTAGAGATAATTATTAGCAGTCTAATTCTAACATGTTAACTTCTTACCTTTTAAGGTAAACGTCTTGCACTGTCTAATCCATTTAAGATGGAACTGTCAAGGTAACTCTTAGGTTTGAAATACATTAATCCCTCAGTAAAATAATTTATACTGCCTACGTCAAATTCACTGTTAATAAAGAGATATACTTCAAAATCTGCAGTTAGGTATCCACTAAATTGTAGCATACGTTTTGGAGGAGGCTTCATATTAGCTTATTGAGGTGCCTAGCACATTCTCTTGTGCACATTATTAATTCTGCTAATAAAATTGAATGTTACTGATAAAAAAAAATGTGGCATAATAATGATGATCAATTCTTGGTTTTATGTTTAGGATCCACTTAGTCCAACATGAAAGGTGTGGAAAATTCTCCAATCCGAAACATTTCAATTATACTTCTTCCCATTTAACAGCAAAAACTTTGTTTTGAGCATCTTCTACTTAGAAACATATGCAGCCTTGAGAACAAAATCTTCTAAAGAAAATTAATAAAGGAAACATCCAAAAATGTCATTACAGGGGTATTTTGACAAGGGGGTATTTGGGCATTCCATGGTTATACAATTTGTGAGAAAATAGAGAAAGAAAGTACAGGTTATTTAGGTCTAGACTTACTGATCAAGAATTAGGGCTTTAAGGCTGAAACTCAATCAAATTTAAAAGTCATGTTCAAGAATTTGAAGCAAGTTACTTCAAGAAAATTTGACCAAGAAATAAGCTAGAATTAGAAAACAATAGAACCAACAAAAAAGATGATGGAAATCCCGAGAGTGATTAAAGGCTGCATAAACCAAAGAGAAAACAAAGATGATCAAAATCAAGGAAATGAAAGATTCAATAGAATCAGGAGAGATTCCTTTTTATCGGTAAAACCAAGAGACAACATAGATTATTAGAAGCAATAAGGCAACACATAACTAGTGTTTTGAAGGCCTAAGCACACATAAATGTATTCTTGAAAGATAACAATTTTTTTTTTTGATAAATGAGTAAGATTTTATTACTCCAGCAAATAAGAGTTACAGGCAACCCATGGAAAGGCACGAGATGCAACCTTTCCTTTAAAACTGCTTACAAAATTATAGGTTCAAATGAAATTATAAAGAAGCCCAAAATAAAGTAGCCCGAAAAAACCCCTGTTTTGCAAGTGAGTCATCCAGATTTTGTTGTTAGTCATTTAACCTTTTTGAGGAGATCTCTGTAGCCCCAGATCACAGAATTCGGATCCTACAACCAACCTACTATCACCTGGGAGTCCCCTTCAATAAGCAGATGCTCTATTCCTAGCTGGTTTGTGAGCTGGATTCCTTGTACAGCAGCAAGTAATTCGGCCTTTAAAGAGTCGCCCACACCCGTAGGACCTGATACAAAGATATAATGCTACTGTCTTTATTTCTCAGCACTCCTATACCCTAAGGCCCAGGGTTACATCAGCTACTCCCATCATAGTTCAGCTTAATAAACTCCTCCCCAAGTGGCATCCATTCAACCACGTATCTGTTCTTCCTGGTAGAAGTATTAGCCACTGCTAACCAGCTCCTCCATAGGTCATTGAAAAAGTATGCATCAAAGAGATTTAAAGTTTTCAGCCACTGAATTTCCCTTGTCAAAATACATCCTTCAACTTCCGAAAAACTTCCTTCATTTTCACAAAAAATTCTGGTGTTCCTTTCTTCCTAAACAGTCCACAACAAAGCTGCTCTTGTGCACTTCCACATAATTCTCCCTCTCTTTGTGTGCCATTCAAAGGTAGACGGACTAAACAGCAGGCTAATATCAAAGTATAAACAAAGAAAATGCGGTGAGTTATCTCCAAGCTTGGGAAAATGGAAGAGGATAATAAAGGCCCTAGTCAAGAGAAATTGAACCTCACGGGCTTGCAAGAACCAGAGACACAAGGACTAGGGGCTACAGCATTCTATAGATGCTTTTCTGGGAGCCACATATTTGACTCTGTTGTAAATCTTATTACATTGAAGTCCCCCTAGACACCAGGGGCCTTCCCATAGGCCTTGGATGCCATAAAGCTCCTCCCATAACTCATTCCTCTCTCTATAATTATTTGGACCGTGCACATTTGTTAGCACCCATGTGAAACCATCTTCCACCATCCTGAATTTTAGGGATACGGTGAAATTACCTATCAGCTCCTCTATTGGCTCTACAACATCCTCCCTCCATAGAATTACAATTCCCCCTGGTGCTCCCCATGAGGGAGCAGAACACCAATTCACTCCTCTTGCTCTCCAAAACCCTCTAACCCACCTTCTATCTAGTTCTAATAGTTTGGTCTCCTGTAGCATCACAATATCAGGTCTTTCTCTTCTAAGCAACTCCTTAATTAATCTCCTTTTTCTAGCACTCCCCAACAATCTTACATTCCAACTGATGAGCTTCATAGAATCATATCGCTTTAAGCCCTTAAGGACACTAACTTCCCATCAATTAGGGGTTTTCTTCCTCTCCCCTCTACCGCTGAACTCAATATCCCATTCGATATCTGAAATTAGTCTCTCTACTTCAGATCTTTTCTTCTTTGTCCTACCCTTAATGTCCACAGACTTCCTAGAAAGCTCTTTATTTCCTGTCTTCTGCTCCATTTTATTGATACTTGCATCCAGTTTGAAATTTTTTGGGGTTACCTCCTTCAGTTCCTCTTTATGTTTGTATTCCTCCAACAAAGTACAAATCTGCTCCCAAATCCTTTCCTATTACTCCTCGTCTCTTTTTTTTTTTTTTCTAAAGAAACCCCTTCCCCAACTTCTACCCTAACACTCTCCTTCTCCTCTCCCCTTCTACCACCTGCTTGTTCTGGTTGTGATGCCAGGACATCTATTACAGGCAGAGAACCCAGATTAGTAACTGAAAACAAATGGACATGCTTACCTGAACCTAATGGAAGTGAGTGAAGTGGGGTGCCATCTGCAAGTGTCGAGTCCAAGACTTTTCCTTGTTCCCGATTCCATTATGGAAGTGGACTAGTTTCAACCAAAACTTGTTCACCCCTGCAGCCGAAGTTACCTCTCTAGCCTTTCCTTTTGTTGGTATCCATGTGTTAGGCGTCAGAGTTTATTCATGTTCCTCTGGCCTGATAACCTGCGTAGGCTGGTTTAGTGCAGTGGGCTCTTGTATTAGATGAGCTGATGAGGTGAGTTCCACCGAACCTCAGTAAGAGCTTTTAAGTCCATCTGATCTTTATGAGACACAAGTTCTAAAGGGGAGAAGTTTTGTTCGTCGTTGTTGGGATCTACATTAAACACCTGTTCCTTGATGCCGAGGCCACATGGATCCAGCACCTCCTCTGGAAACAGCAACTCAGTGTTCAAACTTTCCTCCTCGAAGATATCTTTCGAGTTTTGTAGATCTATACTTCCCAGACTAAGAGTTTCTTCAACTTCCAAATCAGAGCACTCTTCATCATCAGTTAGTATTTCCAGCTTCAGGTTATCTATCTCGCCGCACTTAAAACATCTCGGATTATGACAATCTGGTGAAAGCCGAGCCAGTTTCTTTGAAGGAAGCCACTGTAATTAACAGTTCACTTGAGCAGGGTCATTCGACCGACTGGAGGAGCTTGAGGTAGAAGATGGTAGACCTCGTTTCCTGTCTACCTGAGATGCTCCCTCAATCACGTGCTTTTTTTAAGTCACCACGTGCCAGCTTAAGGCTTGGAATAATTGGTTCTGGCCCATTTAAAACAATGTTGGGCCTGTCAAGCCCCAAGGCCAGCTTCGACTTTAAAGGCTCATCATTCTTGGATCCAGCTGGCAAGTGATCTTCAGCAGCTACAGAGTCCCCGATTTGACTCAAAGGTTTACCTCCCCCTATCTGTGGTTCCACCGCATTTAAAACCAGACCTTTCCTTACAATGTTTGATTTATTTAACCCATTCAAATTGTTCAGTTTGGCGCCAGAAGATAATGCTGGAACGAATGTTCTATTGAATGTCACACCCTTGCCTTGTTGCTCACGTCTTATACCATTCTCCTGACCTAGAACCTTTGGGCTGCTTAAAAACTGTCTTTCCATTTTGGTGAAAGTTTCCATCTGCTTTTGTTTGTCCCTCCCCAGACTGCCACGTAGTACCATCCCTTCAACCTTTTCGTCTTCCTCCTGTCTAGCCTCCCTCAACAGGGCAGCTTCAATGGAGGTTGCTAACCACACCGGTAGTAATAATCCTCCTACTCCAATGGTCACCTTCCTCGGTATTTCCTCTGGTTTTACTCCACTCAGAAGAAGAGCTGCACTACGTACATCTCCCCAGAATACACCATCTATCTAGTCAAGCACCACACAGCAGAGCAATTGAGTTTGCAAACTCTGACCACTGTCTCCTTTTTCCATCATCTTTGTTTTTCCGTTATCCTTCTGTCTAGGAAGTTTGATAAAATATCAGCCACTCCTTTCCACCCTTGACTGTTTTTTCCTTCAGGAAAACAGACCATTTGCTTCCTTTAGCAAAAAAATCAGAAAGAGATATGAAGGATCCCTTTACATTCCTCTTGCTTTGCATTACGTACCTTCTACCCATCTCTGAGAAATTTTCTTTCAATATACTCTGCTTCCCTTTAGTTGCTGCATCAGAGAGGAACTCTTTCAGCCAGTCAATCATCTCGGTTCCTTCCACAAGCACCGTAGCCATCTTCTGTTCCCTTATCTTCAGGCTGTCTTCCTTTAATCCACATTTCTTCAAAGAGAAAATCTTTAGCCTCTACCTTCAGAGCTGTTCTCCATTTTGTTTTCTCCACAAATCCTTTCTCCATCATTCTCCCCCCCAATCCACAGATAAAATACCTGTGAAGTTTGATTGGAAACTACTTCCAGCCAAAATGCCTGTTAAGTTTGGCTGGAAACTACTTTCAGAGGCACATCCAAGCACTCATTTAGACATCCAAAGGTGGCCACTCTATCTTCCAACCATTTTAGAATAATCTGACAAGCTTTCTGGGAGCCACATATCTTAGAAAATATTTCCAATCCACATGGAATTATATAGTTGATGTTAAATAATCTCATGTGCACTCATTTATGTATTTAATCCTATCAACTCTTGTATACCAGAATTATGTAGTTGTGACTTCACTCTTAATTACTTGATGAAAAGCAAGATCTAAGCTTCAGAAGCTAATAATTATTGAAACTGGAGTCTACCAGGAATCAGCCAAACAAAAGGATTAAACCATCATATGCAACCACCAAGTTAATGTTCAATTTACCTCTGTCAAGAACAAGGCTGCAACACGATCTTTGATAAATCTAAGGATCAAAGCACGGAACTTCTTTTCCTTGGGTTGCCTTCTCAGAAACTCCAATAACCAATACCTAAGGCTGCTGTTGTAGAGCCTTTTTGCTACTCGGACCCGCATGTTTATGAGTGATGCCATCCCTTCCAACTGACCAGCTGAGTATGGAAGAGAATCACCTCTAAGAAATGCTTTCACCTGCAAATATAAGCTTAAAATGTTTGAATTAACAACTTGGAAATCACACATAAACAGGGAAGCATCACATGAAAATAATAAAGGCTTAACTAGTCATCAAGACTGTAAAACCTAGGTGTACAAGATGACGTTAATCTTGATCCCAAGCAAGTGACAAACTCTATCAAAGCATTATCTGTTCTTATATTTGACATAAAGCAGACTGTTTTTTGTAGAAAAAGCATAGACATATTGACAACAATAACTTGCATACTAATATCATAGTTTTCAAGGCGCCAAGGCGAGGCTAGGCAACAGGGGGGCACCTTGTCGCCTAGTCGCCTAGGCAATGGATTTTTTCAAGTAAAAAACATATATCCTAGTAGGGGCTGAACCCCAATTTTTTTATAGGAAAAGAAGAAAAGAAAAAAGAAGATATGGAAGAAGAAAATGTGTTGATTAGACAATGTTTTAAGTTCTTCCTTATTGGTTCAGGTTTTGAAGTCTACGAGGGTTCAATACAGCAGTTAGCAATGTTTGTGTTGATTAAACCCTAACAAATAAGAAAATAATAAAAAGAAAATAGTATATAAATATATAAAATGAATATTGTAGCTTAATAATGTCTATTTTATAATTATAATCTCAAAAAATTAAGAATATAAAAGTATTTTATAACACAACATACAAAACTACTTGGCGATTAGGTGAGGCGAGCCTCCAAGAGCACCTTGTCACCTAGGTGTTGCCTTGACAACTATGACTAAAATGATGTGAATCAACATTTACAATCCATTTTCATGACAACATGGCAAAACTTCACTAAAGTAGCAACTAGCACTCATAAGCAATGTTTTAAAACGTGGAGGTGTGACGCTAGGCATTCCACTACCTAGAGGTGTGAGGCGTAGTTCAGAAGGCAAGAGGCGTAAGCCTCCTGGACACAAGGAGGCATAAGCCTCCTTAAGAGGGAGGGGGTTAGGAGGAGAAAGGGGAGGAGGATGAAAAGGAAGGGGGTCTTGTTGAAGCAGAGTCGAGCGAGCAAACTGGGCTGCACCGAAAAAGGGGGCGGGGGGTCTAGGGGGTGAAGCCCCCCAGCCAAAGGGGCAGGGGGCAAACCACTTTCTTTTCCCTTATCTTTTCTTCTCTTCCTTTTCCTTTTCTTTTCTTTCCTTTTCTCTTTTTTTCTTTTCTTTCTTTTTCTTACCCTTCCTTTTTTTATGAATGAAAATAATTTATTAATCCGGAAGTAATAAGGCAATACAGGAAACCAAAAAAGAGGCACGAGCCGTTACCTCTTCTAATAATAAAGTATTACATCAAATTAAAACAGAAATAGCCCAAAATAAAATTATAGAGCAGCCCAAAATAAATGTTCCCTTGAAGCCCCCTGCTTAGCTAACCCATCTGCTAAGGTATTTGCTGATCTTCCCACCCAAAGAGGGATAACAGTCATGTTTCTTTTGAGCCAGTTGACTTTCCTCAATAAATCTCTGTGTCGCCACATAGCTGAAGCTGGGTCTGTCAACCATCCCACAACATTCTTAGAGTCTCCTTCAACTACCAATCGCTGAACTCCTAGTTGTTCTGCCAACAAGGCTAAGATGTTGCTCTCTGTATCTCTCAGCACCCCTCCTATCCCCGATGGGCCTGGGTTTCCTTGGCTGCTGCCATCAAAGTTCAGCTTTACCCATCCTTCAAGCGGAGGGATCCACACTGCAGATTCCTTATCCTTCCGTGTATGGCTGTTAGCCACCTCTATCCAATTTCTCCAAATATCATCAAAGGAAAAAGTATGAAAAGTCCATTGTTCTCAACCAGTGAATGGCCCTAGTCAAGATACAATCCTCAACAGCCTGAATGCTTCTTTCCTTTTCCTTGAACACCCTTGCATTCCTTTCTTCCCAGATTGTCCATAAGGCGGCTGCTCTAATACATCTCCACATCATTTTTCCTTTTTTTGTAGGCCACACAAAAAAGGAAGGATCGAACAGCTGACTTAAGTCTGTGGACAGATTCCACCTACACCCAAACAAAGAAAAAATCCAATTCCAAATAGCACTAGAAAAGGAACAAGATACAAGTAAGTGGGAGCAATCCTCACCACTAGCCCTGCAAAGTACACACCAGTTAGGGGACAAACACATGAAAGGCCTTTCCTTCTGCAAGCAAACCAAGGTATTAATCTTTCTATGAAACACTTCCCAGCAAAAAATAACAATTTTAGGTGGAACAGGTCTAGACCAAATCTCCTTGGTTGGAAAACCCCCCATCTCAGAGAAGAGCAAAGGGACTTAAAAAAGGAAGCACAAGAGAAGTAACCCTTTGGATGAGGGGACCATAATCTCACATCCACACTAAGAGGGTCCAGAAAGACACTGCCAAGAAGAGACAACAGATCTGAAACACTGTTAAGTTCATCATCCCTCAAACCTCTCCGAAAACCAAAGTCCCAACTTAAGGATGAGGGTGAAGTAGGAGATGGGAGAAAATGAGAGATAGCTTTTTCCTTATGGAGGGAAATAGAAAAAAGAGACAAGAATTGGTCCTTAAGGGCAACAGTACCCACCCAAGTGTCTTCCCAAAATAAAACAGAATTACCAAAATTGACATCATACCTGACAAGGTTGAGAAACTAAGGAAGAATGCTCTGTATTGCTTTCCAAGGGGATGCCAACGTTGCTTGATGTGATACACCCACATCCCATCCATTTTCCAGTCTGCCATGTATACTAGCTATCACTTCATGCAACAACCTCTCCCTTTCTCTAGGCCACCTCCACAACCATTTTCCTAAGAGAGCTTTATTCTTGAGAGTTAACCTTCCTAGTCCTAGTCCACCTTCCTCTTTACTCCTACAGACTATTTCCCAGTTGATTAAATGGTCTTTCTTTTCCTCCCCTGGCTCACAAAGAAATGCTCTCATTAATCTCTCCAACTTCTTAGCCTCCCTATTAGGAATCCTAAAAACGGATAGAAAATATACCGGTAGGTTTGCTAAGGTGGCTTTAGTAAAGTCACTCTACCCCCCTATAGAGATGTAGTTTCTTTTCCAAGATGCTAATCTTTTCTCAAACTTTTCCAAAACTGGGGTCCAAAAACTACTCTCTTTTGGGTTTGCCCCTAGGGGGAGACCTAGGTACTGCAAGGGCCAAGAAGAAACAGGACAACCTAAACAATTTGCCACAGATTGAAGAATCCCCTCGTTCATATTGACACCTACCACACAACTCTTATTCAGGTTTATCTTCAGATTGGAGACCTTCTCAAAGTGTTGTAGCAATGCTCTAAGATTCCTCACTTTTTGCCTGTCACTCCCTTCACAAAATATTATGATATCGTCAGCAAAGTGTAGATGGGTTACTCGGACATTGTTCCTTCCTATTCTCCAACCATTCACTTCCTCTTCCCTATCTGCCTTAGAGATTAATCTACTGAATTCTTTCCCTTCCCTTTCTTTTCTTTTCCCTTCCTTTCCTTTCCTTTTTTTTTTCTTTTTTTTTCTATCTTTTTATATAAGATGTGCATGAGGCGTACGCCTCTAGCATGCCTCATGAAAAAAGCGCACGAGGCGTACGCCTCAGAGGTGTTAGCACTTCTGGCATACACCTCAGGGCGTTTTGGGAGAGCCTCGCCTAGAGGCACACCTCCAGGCATACACCTCCCACGCCTTTTAAAACACTGCTCATAAGAGGATAATGATAGTCAACAGTAATATAACGAATCATCAAAATAATAAAGAACAAATCACAAGAACATTAAATAAGCAAATTACATCATCCAAAACACGGTTCTCTGTAACATCAAAATTTTAGGTCTTGCTTTTTTTTCACCTTCCCATTTTGGCCTAGCAATCCTAGAAACCCAGGATTTCTTTTGACTAATTAGCTCACACGCCGCGATGTGTGTGGGTTTTTGCTCAGGTGCCAAGGACAACACCATAAACATCTTTAGCAATTCCCACCATGATGGCCTTCAAAATTTTGGCGACAACATACCTCCAAATAAGATTCTAATACTAGTTAAACAATCACAAACTTCCTACTGTCCTTTGAAGTTTGAATAGGAATATAATCAGTTAAACATATTATACAGACAGAGTTAAGAAGTTCACCTGATAATGAGCAAGAAGATCCATATATCGACGGATTGGAGATGTAAACTGCACATAACCAGGAATACCCAAGACTCCATGACGTATAGGCTTCCTGAAATCCATTTCTGCTGCACGCATTATTTTGACATATGCTGAACTTCTAACAGGTCCTTCTGGAAGATGGGAAAATGCAGAGGCATCAATGTTTGATTGGGGTTGGCCTCTGTAGGGAAGAGGGATGTTATTGCATGAACCAAAGGTGGCTATAACCTCCCCACACAGTATCATCATCTCGGAGACAAGTCGCATTGCAGGATCAGCCTGATTTTCAACATAGAGATTGATTGATGGTTCTAGGTCATCTGGATTAGCCACCTTGATACGTGTATCTATTGTTGCTGTATCAATTGCACCCTGAGGATAAAATAACTTTTTAACTCTACAGAAATATTTTAACAAACAAATACTGAGGGCAAGCAAATAGATCATGTAATAAAAACAACTAGACACAAAGTAATATGGAAAAAAAAAAAAAAAAAAAACTTCTATTAGTGTTCAATAATATTTGACCCAGATGAAAGTGTAAAACACATTGAAAATTGCATTCACATGCTGACAGTAGAGGAAGCACAGCCACTGGTTTAAGAGAAAACTGAAATAATCCTTCATAGCAAATCCAAATTGAAACATAGAAATGTCAAGCATGTGAGGTAAATAGTATCCATGTTTCTTCACATATTAATAAGGAACCAAGGAAGTGAATATGAAAACAATAAAAAGAGAACACCTAAGACAATTGGTCATAAAATGCCTATTGCTACCAAAATAACCAAATATAATTTCCCTACGACCATCTCCCAATACCATATTTCAATCACCCATAGAACTCTCTCAACTCATGACTCTACAGAACCAACTTATCCCTAAAATCAGAACTTCCACCAATCTTCCTCTTTAAACCATGCCCAAGGTACATGTAAAGTTCCATTTTTCAGTATCTCAAATGCTCTTCTCCTCCAAAATAGCCCTTAACAAACGCCTTTCCACTAAAATTGGACTCTCTCCACTTCTGTCCCTCCTCTCAATCTAAGAATACATTTCTTACATGATCTTCTCCCCTTATGAAAACAATTCCAAACTCTTCCTTGAATTTCTTTTTTTCAATCACAAGATTTTATCCACCTTATTGACTTTTGATGTTTAATCCAGAGGGAAACCATCATCTTCCTCTTGTTGAATCATTTTATCTTCAGTTGCAGATTTGATATCCTCACTTTGCATTTCAGAATCCTCTGTGGAATAAACTGAAGACAGACATGTCCCATATCTTCTACTTAGCAATTCATCTTCACATTTATTGTTCCTATGCTTGGTTTCCAGGTCCCTGCCTTCATCTAATACCACATGTGATGCCAAACAATCCTTGTTATAACCTTCACCACAAACAATGGCTGTCACCAATCTAAAATCACAGGTGATGCCAAAAATTCCTTGTTATAACCTTCACACAAACAACTCCTGCACACAATTGGTCTCTTTCCTATTATCCTCATTCCAAGATGTTTCTGCAGTACTGCCATTGAAAAGAAAACTGGATCATGCAAAAATTGTTCTCAGAGGAACAACTACATATTTTCATCACTAATTTTTTCATTCCCCTTCATTTTTAGCCTTTACTATTGAGAAATCTGTATTAAAAAGAAGAAGGGAATATAGAGGGAAAAACAATTATGCATTTTTTATCAGCAACACAAAGATTGATTCATTAATATTAGAAAAGATGAGTACAACAAGAAGTAGTGAAAAGAAACAACAAACCCAAAACTAAACCATCCCATGTATTATAAATAAGCCCAAAATAAAGTTTGTCTATGAACCCCTTGCTTAGCTAAACCGTCAGCCATACCGTTTGCAGATCTCCTAACCCAATTTATTTGAATCGCCATGTCTTTGGATAGACATTTGAAGTGCATGAACTCATTTCTTAATTGCCAAGTGACCCCTTCCCACTTTTTCAGCCCGTCTACAACTGTTTTCAAGTCACCTTCAATGACCAGCCTTTCAATCCCCAATTCTTTAGCTTTCTCTACCCCATAGAATACTGCCAATAGTTTTGATATGACCACATCACCTTGCTGAATTGACCCTGAATACAAAGCCATTATGTTCCCTCCCTCATCCCTAATTACCCTTCCAATACTCGAATGGGCCTGGATTGCCCGCACAACTACCACCAAAATTCAGTTTCTTCCACCCAACACTTGGGGGTGACCAATCCACATAAACTTTTTGTCTTCTGGAGGATGAAGCAACATTTTTTTTTTCTTTTGATGAGTATGAAGCAGCAATTGTTCCCTACGAACTGAAGAAATCATCAATCTTAAAGTCTAAAGAACTTCAAAGTTTTATCCCAATGTGTCACATTAAAGTTATAACCTCTATCACAGCTACCTTACTCCTTTGTCTTCAAAACTTCTTAAATTCTTTTCTTCCCAGATTGTCCAAACCACTGCTGCTCTAGTGCATCTCCCCAATATTCTACCCCCTCTTTTTGAGCAACTGAAAGCACATGAATTAAATAACCCTTCCAAGCTATCAGGAGGAGACCATCTGCAACCAAAAAGCGAGGACAACCACTCCCAAATAAAGCCAACAAAAGGATAGGAAATTAAGAGATGAAAACCGGTCTCACCATTCAACTTACATAAGAAACACCAGCCTGGAGACAAACACCAGTTTGGTCCTTTCCTCTGAAGCATATCACAAGTATTAATGGAACCAAGAAACACTTCCCAATAGAAAGCACTGACTTTTGGAGGAATAGGCCAAAACTATATTTCTTTAACAGGGAAATAAGGAGAGGGGGAAGTGGCTACAAGGGAACAAAAAAAAAAAAAGATTTCTAGGAGAACAAGCCTGTATGATTAAGAGCCTACGCTCTTAGAGTCTAACCCACCTTCCCCCAAGACCACTAAATTCAGCATACTTAGCAAAGCAATAACACTAGGAATTTCAGGCTCTCTAAGGTTCCTAGAGCAACACAAGTTCCAATGCAGTTCTGATTGAGAGGAAAATGAGCAGTAAAATCAGACAGGTTTTCCCTTGAGATAGGAAAGGGCAAAAAGAGAGGAAAGGCCTCAGACAAAGGCAATTCCCCAACCCAAACATCTTTCCAGAATCTAATTTTTTGACCCAAGGCCTCAAATAAAGGAGATTCCCCAACCCAAACATCTTCCCAGAATTTCTGACCCAAGGCCTCAAATAAAAGAGATTCCCCAACCAAAACATCAAAACAGTTAATGCATGTTTTGATGATTGCTGAAATAGGGGTCTGTTCAAGGAAACCCATTCTCTGCATTTTAAAATAGTAGGAATCTGCTGAATTAAAAAATATGAAAGAAGGTAGTTTCTTGAAGAGAGAAGGAGAAGAAGAAAAGTTTGAAAGAAAAGAGAGCAATAATCTGGCCGCCCCCTTCACTTATTATTTATACTAAAATAATAGAATAGTACAAAGACAACTATGCCCTTATAGGGCAGCAAAACATAAAACAGCATATATAACACACAAAAACATAATAAAATTTGGATTCACATAACTACTGTGGTCCCCACCTCCTATCTAACAACTAACATAAAACATCTACTCAGAAAAACATCATAAAACTATTAATCTTCAACAAAAATTAATTGATGAGAATGATCCTTAGATGGTGAGGAATCTATTCATCACCTGCATTTCTATCCTTCTTGCTCTTTTCTTAACAAATTTTCTTCTTTATTTATCTTAAAAAAAAAATCCATTCTAAAGACAAAAGAAAGTAGATTTTGACTAACCTACCAATTTACTTTCTCTTTGCTTTTAGGATTCTACCAAGGGAAGCAAAGAAACTAGAAAAAAGTAACGAGGGTTTTCCTTTGGGAGTCGGGAGAGGCTAGAGACCACTAAATCAAATGGGAGATTGTGTGTAGAAGCAAGGAAGAAGGTGGGTTAGGTATTGGGAATGTGAGCAAGATGAATATAGATCTTTTAGGGAAGTGGTTGTTGAGATGGCCATTAGAAAGGGAAAGCTTATGGCATAAGGTGGTGGATAGTATTCATTGAAGGTTAGAGAGTGGTTGGGATGCTGGTGTATCACATTGGGCAACTTCGCAGCACCTTGGAAGGTAATTAATGGTATCCTTTCTCTTTTCTTCAAGTATATCAGGTATGTTGTATGTTCAGGGAATTTAATTAGTTTTCTGGAAGACGTTTGGGTTGGTGGCAAAGGATTTGTTTTCTTGTACAAAAATGAGATGCTCTCGAAATTTCTAATCCCTCCTCTATTGCCTTTGGATCATAATTGGGATTTTGGGTTTCATAGGGGGTTGAAGGATGAGGAATGAACCTCTATGACAGAAATTTTGCTTCTTCTTGATAGAGTTTGTCTAGAGACTTCTAAACCGGATAGAAGAGTTTGATGCCCAAGTTCTAAAGGTCTTTTTTCTTGTGCATCTTTTTTTAATGCCCTTTGTTAGTCCCCTAATCTCAATCTTTCCCCTTTAAGGAAGTTTGGTGTCAGCCTATACGCCTTAAAATTAGTGTTTTGTGTTGGGAAGTATTCTATGGGAAAGTAAACACTCTAAATCATTTGCAAAAGAAGAGACCTTTGTAGTATATTTCCCCAAACCGGTGCACTCTTTGTAAATCAGAGGGTAAATCTTGTTACTACTTACTACTTACTAGTCTCTTGCTCCATTGCTGCAAATACTTGGGATTGGGTTTTCTTTTGTTTGGGTGCAGGTGGAACTTGCTAATGAAGGCTAAGATGTTACTGATTCATCTACCTTTATATGGCCAAAGAGAAGGGGAAGAATAATGTAGAGGTGTAGCAGAGCAGCAATGATTTGGACTTTATGGGAAGAACGAAATGCTAGAATCTTCCAAGAAAAGGAAAGAAGCAAGCAACAAGTTATGGATAGTGTAATGACCAGGGCTATACATTGGCTATTAACTTTGGATTTATTTCGGCAATTCTCCTTTGATGATATTTGGAGGAATTAGTATTCAGTGGCTTCTAGTTCAGTGCAGAAGGATAAAATATACTTGACATGGGTACCTCCTCTTGAAGGTTTTTTGAAATTAAATTTTGATGGGAATAGCCAAGGTAACCCAGGCCCTTCTGGAATTGGAGGGGTCTTAAGAGATAAGGAAGGGAATGTAGCGGCACTCTATTCAGGACTGAATGACTGATAGGGAAGTGGGGACTCTATATGCAATTTTACAAGGTGTTCAGATTGCAAAAGAGATGAGCTTGGAGAATTTGGTGGTTAAAGGGGACTCAAAGGTGGTAGTGGACTGGATGAAAGATCCAGATTCAATGATACGGTGTTATAGGGACGAAATGAAGAAGTTTAGATGATTAGCAAGAAATATGAATCTGGTAATACAATGGGGAGGGAGGCCAGTGCATTTGCTGATTCTTTAGCTAAGTAGGGGATACTTAGGGATCAGTTGTATTGGGCTCAATTGTGATATTTTTATTGTACTTAGCTAAAGTAATTTCCATTGTCCTCATTGATAATAATAAATATAAAAAAAACATGGTTACCTCAATGCCCTGGACATTCTCCATTTTCTCTTTTACAATAATTCACAAGTTCTCTATTTTCCCTTCATGTATTAAGGCATGAAAGCCTATGCATATCAGTATTCCTGTTAATAATACAATATGCTAACCCTAAGGGGACTTGAATGCCTTTTGAAGGAAGCTATACAGGAACAGATTAAATAATTTCCAACTTCAGGAACAAACATAAAGACATTGATTCCTCTTAGTACAAGGTGGATTATAGACAAAATGTTTCTGGTTTAAAGCTTTCGACATATCTTTCTTAATATGGATATCTAAAGATAGAATTAGTCCTTTCCTCGAGTCCTTGCACACTTTGATCATGGCTTATCAAACTGAACCACACATGCTGAAAAGAAATCAAGGCTTTTTGTTCACTGTTTAACATCATTAAGCCATATGAATAAGTAAAAGGATTTCATAAAATTAAATTGCAACCTGTTGGCGACGCCATTGTAACCGGAGAGCTGCAGCCTCAGATAGAATTCGAAGTTCAGCCTCCTCTTCCAGGTTCAAGTGAATCAACTCAGATGCACTCTCATATGTCAACATATAGGTTGGTCTAATAATCGAGTTTTCTACTGTGTACTCTGCAATGCTATAAACCCAATATAGGATGTAAACTGTATATAATAAGTGAATAATATTTTCATAATCGGACTACCATATAGATGAAATTACAATCTATAATTGTATCAGGAATTCCATCTACATTGAGAACTCCATATGGTGAGTTTTACCAGTTAGAAAGATATACCATGTCAGAAAATCTGATGCAGGAATAGAACAAAAGAAAGAAACCATGAAAGAAGAAATCAACTCCTTATAGACTCCTAAACTAATGGCAACTTCAAAATTTTTGTGTTATTCAACTCTCTAGTTTATTAGCTTAAAGAACCTTATTAGAGAGTTGATAAGAACTTTGAAAAAGGTGAAGATACAATAACACCAATTCTCTTTGAACCTAATTTTTACGGGTCAAAGTTTATCTGTTTCACATGATTTTGTGTCACTAGATAGGTATTTAATTTGTCTATCCAACACAACCACAACATTGAAAATCCAGTGTGTTGAGAAAATTATGCCTTACTGATAAGGTGTCAGTCTGTGACATGATTAGAAAGTTTGTATTTTAGGGGTCTGTCTTGGAGTTGTATTTGGTCTGTTTAGTTTTAGTAAGAACAGTAATGGGTAATTAGGTATTTAGGGTTGGTTTAGGAGTTAAAATAATACATAGAGATGGCAATTTTCCCCATCCCCGCCTCCATTGCCATTTTAAGTAAATTTATTTTTCAAAAAATCTGTTAATTAAAAAATTTTGGGGATTCGGGAACCCGCCTCCATTGTCATTATGTATGTATGTATAGGTTTATCTTAGTCTTAAAGCAATTAGGAGTTGTTTCTGTTTGGTCACATTCCAAGTTGGAATATGAGTCTGTGAAGGAAGATCTAAGCCCTTGTGTTGAGTCTAGAAATAGGGTTATGATAATTGAAAATTATTAGAGTTATTTTGATGAATAAAAGTGTGGTTTAGAAAATTTTGGTTATAGCCAGATCTTACCTCTCTGCTATATGTTCCAACTCTAGAGTGCTTCCTTCCTGGAATCTAATTTCCTGCTCATTCTTTAGTAGACAGCTTGCTGTCTACTTCTCTCTCTGTACCCTTCATCATTAATCACCCAAATCACCTTACTTCACCCTAGAAAGCCCACCACCATATCCAAATGTTGTAAGATAGACCATCAAAATCAATTTGGTTGGACCATTTCACCATATGGTTATCAGCTTACCACATTCTTTTGGATGGTCAGAAAGATCCCACCATCAATATGAAAAGAAATTTACAGATCCACTGGTTGTGATCACCTAATTGGCTCAATTTCAGTTATAATTCTTTCAGGAGGGTGTTATCAGTGGAGGATCATGACTCCTGGGATTACATCCATCATGTTCCATTTATAGACTGTTTTTACATTTCAATTATCAGCACTGAATATTGCCTTATCCCTAAGAGAAAAGGATTAAAGGACAACCAATAGATTAGCAACTTACCCGCCACCATGATGCAGTACAACAGATACACTGACAGCATTGCAAACTTTTCCTTGTTTCAAGCTCATTCCCTCCATTGCAAGCTTCTCCGGGAACATAGGAAAAGTGGCAGTGGGCAAGAAAATAGAGGTCCCTTTTCTCATTGCCTCTCTACATGATGAACCATATTAAGAATAAACTAAAACTAAAAGAAACACTCCAATTTAACCCAAATGCTCTGCAGAATATTCAAATATACCTGTCTATTTTGCTTCCAGGTTGAACTAAGCTAGTTGGATCAGCAACATGTATCCACACTTTGATCCGGCCATCCTGCAGCCTTGTTGCACTGAGGGCATCATCAAGCTGCATATTCATGGTCATTTGGATAGTAAGAACATACCATACAACCAGATTAGAAAGAATGTGCAAATCACTCAGGCATTTCAAACAGCAACTCTTTGAAAATGGCCAACTTGATTTTTACCTCATCAGCTTCGTCAACATCAATTGCATAAACTTTCAAATGTGTAAGATCTTTTCTCTCCATCTGAAACACAATTATCCCCAGATAAACATATAGCATCAAGTACACTTGAATGCAATGGAAGTTGTTGAAATATGACAAAGTTTTCCATGTTTTGTTTCTTGTGGTTTTGAAGCAAAAAGAAAAAAAGGAATAACAAAACCATATTTTTAAAATATCAAAATTTATCTTTTTACTTGGCAATCTACCAAAAAAAAAAGAAAATCCTTCTAACATTTATGGTTTTCTGTAAGGACTTAAAAATACATATGTTTTTTCTGGAAATCTCCATATGGAAGTTTCCTAATTTTGGAGTTTGTTTGCAGTAGAGACCTACCTCATCAGGATCAGATGAGTCTAACAAAAGGCTTTCGGCAGCTGAGAGAATTTCATCTGAATATTCAGTATGGACATTGAACTTCAAGAGATCAAGATTGACATGTACAGGAAAATAACCAATGTCTATGAGGAGATTTACTGCAGAAGACGATGTCCTTGGCAGCCCCATTGCCTTGAGGATCTGCAAAATAAATAAATAAGTAGAAATTAGGTACTCCATTAATATATGGAGAACCAAAAGGAGCAATTGGCATCATAGAAGCACAAAGAAAAATGTTTTTTCTTCTGGTAAAAGAATAAAAGATCTAGAAGTAACTAGTCAAGATAAATTGCAAAATTCCTCTTGACCAGCTTCTATAAGTTTTAGCTGCAATCCACAAATCTATGCCCAACTAGCATGTAGATACTTTTGTAGAATTGTATCAGGAAACTTGCCACTCCAGCTGTTTTCTTTTGATCATCATTTTTACATGCATCAATTGCATAAGCCTCAAGAGATTCAATTCTATGTTGGATTTTATCATCAACTGTCCATGATTCTTTGGGAGGCTTGGAATGTAAAGAAACTCCCTTGGCTGACATCAGTAGCCCTACAAACTCCTGAAGTTCCTTTTCAGCTTCCTCTTTTGCATGTTTCCTGCGTAGAAGTTCTTCTACCTAATTTTGCAAACAAAATAGCAATCAGTCTTTTAAAAACTGTTGGAAGCAACCAAGCGATGAAATAACGGTACTACATCATCACTCATTCACCTAATCAAACAGGCATAGTTAACAATGCACAGTGAATATCAGACTATTGTGTTAAGAACCCCAAAAGACAGCCAAAAAAACATAAATTTCTTGTGAGAGAAAAGCAAGGTATTCTTTACATTATCATAGAAAACTTAAAAGCCAAAAATAAGAAGGATAGACATATATGTAAACAGTGAGGGACAGTACAACCATAATAAAGTGTTACTCTTCTTCAAAAGCATGCAAAAAGAGTCATCCAAAATCATAGAATAGTACTTGTTTTTTTATTGGAAACGGTAACTTCATTAATACAAAATTAAGTACAACTGTCAACCCCTAAACAGGTGTTGAGTCCCAAGTAACCTTTATTACGAAACTTCTTAGAACATACTCTCCCTCAGTCCCTTGTTTAGCCAACGTATCAGCTAAACCATTAGCTGATCTCCTTGTCCATTTGAAGCAAGCACCAATCCCCCTTGTTATATTGAGGATTTCCCTTATGGGCTATCTATAAATCCAACTTCCAAGCTCCCAACTTACCTGATTGCAGCCAATCAATTAACAATTTAGAGTCTCCCTCTATCTGAATTTGGTGTAACCCCAATTGTTTGGCATATCTTACACCATGAAGTAAGGCCATCACCTCCACTCTCAATGAGTCCCCCACTCCTATTGGCCCCGAAAACATAGCCACAATTCTGCCATTTTCATCTCTAAATACTCCCCTATACCTGAAGGGCATGGATTACCTCTAGAGTTCCCATCAAAATTCAGTTTCATTCTTTGTTGTGTTGGTGGAGACCACAATTCCTACACAATAGGTTTTATGGAACTATGGAAGTTGTAGATGCCACCACTCCCCAATTCCTGCATATGTCCTCAGCTGAGAAGTCTTTAAACAAATCCAAAGTTTGAATAGTCATAATGGTTAACAATTTCCTCCTTGGATTTCTCAACTCCTTTGAAGATCCTATTGTATCTTTCCTCCCAAACTGACCATTGAATAGCTGCTCTTGTGGTTCTCCAAATTAATCTTCCACGCCTACCAACAAAAATCCCGAATTTTTGAGGTACAAGCTGACACCAAACCTCCTTTGAAGGAAAACTCCTTGTAGGGTTTGTTGACTAAAGGAGGACATCAAAGAAAGAGGAACAAGTGAACACACCAGATGGGAAAGGTTTCCAAATTCTATTGTCCAAACAAGACTGATCCAGATAGGTTACTTGAAAGAAGAAGAAGAATAGTCGTTTACTATATTAGAGAAGTAAATACATGTTCGAAGAGAAGAAAGAGAGAGAGAGAGAGAGAGAGAGAGAGAGAGAGAGAGAGAGAGAAGAAGAAGAAGAAGAAGAAGAAGAAGAAGAAGAAGAGTGAAGAGAGGATAAAAGAAAGAAGGGGTTCGGTGGATCATGATCTGCCGCCCCATATTTCTTTATTTATAACTTTAGGTTCCTTACAAGAATAGGAAATAAACAAAAATTAGAAACAATAAGGTCAGCCAGCCCAACTTAAAAGAAATTAGAAACTTCTAATAAAAGAAATAAGAAACTACTAATAAAAGAAATTAGAAACAACTAGGTGTGGGTATGAAATCATACACACTAGAGCCTGAGTATGGGTATGGAACCCCACACTCGTGGCTAACCAACTATTTCTTCACTCCCCCTCAAGTTGGGAGTAGATATTTGTCATGCCCAACTTGCGTAGATCTGTCTCCAATTTGCTTTTTGTGACTGCTTTGGTGAAGAGATCAGCTAACTGCATGTCTGAGGCAATGTAAGGAAGGCATACTTCTTGAGATGCGACTCGCTCTCAGATAAAATGTCTGTCAACCTCAATATGCTTAGTCCTGTCATGCTGTATTGGGTTGTGGGCAATATTAATTGTAGCTTGATTATCACAATACAGCATCAGAGGCTTCTCATAATCAACCTCCAGCTCATTAAGCAAGGATCTCAGCCATAACACTTCTTCTGCAACACCATTGGCCATGGATCTGTATTCTGCTTCTGCACTAGAGCGAGCAACAACATTTTGTTTCTTGCTTCTCCAGGAAACAAGACTTCCTCCCACAAATGCACAATATCCAGAGGTGGACCTCCTATCATCAACACATCCAGCCCAATCCGCATTTGTATACACTTCTATTTTCATATGACCATTATTCTTGAAGAGTATACCTCTCCCTGGACATCTCTTTAAGTAGGCAAGGATCCTTTCTACTGCAAGGAGATGGGTGGTCCTAGGAGAATGCATGTATTGACTGACAACACTGACGGCATAAGAAATATCTGGTCGGGTTAGACAGAGATAAAGAAGTTTCCCAACCAGCCTTTGGTACATAGCCCTGTCCTCGAGGAGTTCTCCACTTTCTGCACTTATCTTATGGTTAGGCTCAATGGGAGTATCAGCAGGTTTTACTCCTAACTTGCTAGTTTCTTCCAATAAGTCCAGAACATACTTCCTTTGGGAGATGAAAACTAGGAAAGTGTAACTTTCCTAGGTCTTTCACTTCAAATTCCTTGTGAATGTGCTATTTAAGGGTTTCAATTTCACTAATGTCACTTCCTGTTATCACAATGTCATCTACATAGACTACAAGTAGAGTCGGGGAATGACCTATCTTCTTAAAGAAGAGAGTGTGATCACAGTTGTCAAGGCGGCACCTAGGTGACTAGGTGGTTTTCCACGGGCGCCTCGCCCAAACACCCCGAATTTTGTATACTAGGCACTCACCCAGAAACTTAAGCGGGCGCCTAGGCGACTAGGCGGGCACCTACATACATCTACTAACTTTTTTTAATTTGTTATTTTGATATTTTATTAGATGTTTTATTCTTTTAAAATAAAATCGGTTACATACTATCGTTATTTTATTATTAAGACAACAATACAAAGTTCTCAGTCGCTAGTCCTAGTCTTAGTCCCCTTTTTTTTTGAAAAAACAGGGGCTCTGCCCCTATACTCCTCTCCGCCCCTAACTATTCTCAGTCGATAGTCTCAGACTCTCAGCCCCTTTTTTTTTTTGAAAAACAGGGGTCTATACTCCTCCCTGCCACTAATCCCCTATACTTCTTCTTCCACCCCTATACTCCTCTCCTCCCTTCCTAGTTCCTGCACTTATTTATTTATTTTTTTTCAGTTAATAGTTAGTGTACATGCTTGCTAGTTAGTGTATAGTTATTGTACTATGTACATGCTTGCTAGTTATATGAAATTTATAGTTTTATACTCATTTGAATGATTTATAGAGTTAATAGTTAGTGTACATGCTTGCTAGTTAGCATAGAAAACCAATAAAATAGCTTACAAAAGCATAGATAAAGTAAAAACTCAAAAAATTTAATATTTTAAAATTCCAACGCCTAGGCGCCCTGTGGTCACTTAGCCTTGCCTTGGCACCTTGAAAACTATGAGTGTGATCTAACTAAGCTTGTATGCATCCGAATTTGTCCAAAGCCAGTCTAAACCTATCAAACCAAGCTCTTGAGGATTGTTTCAGCCCGTACAAGGCCTTCTTCAAAAGGCAAACTTTCTTTCTTGCTTCTGTACTATAAAAACCAGGGGGTAACTCCATGTATACTTCCTCTTGCAAGTCTTCGTTGAGGAAGGCATTCTTAACATCTAGCTGAAATAGTGGCCATGAGAAGTTTGCAACAATGGATAGAAGAACTCCGATAGTGTTCATTTTTGCAACAGGTGCAAAGGCTTTTGTATAGTTTATGCCATAAGTTTGTGTGAATCCCTTTGCAACCAATCTGGCCTTATACCTCTCTACAGTACCATCAGCATTATATTTCACAGTAAACACCCATCTGCATCCAACAGGTTTCTTCCCTTCAGGCTGGTTAACTAGTTCCCATGTGTTGTTCTTGACAAGAGCATCCATCTCTACTTGCATTGCTTCCTTCCATTCAGGTATCAAAAGAGCTTCTTGCACTTTTCTAAGTATAGGAATAGCTGAAATAGATGCCAAGTAAGATTTGTAGGATTCTAAGAGACAATTATAGGAAAGGAACTTGGAGATGCAATGGGCAGTGGATGAGGTGCAACGGCGTTTCCCTTTACGAATAGCAATTGGAAGGTCAAGGTCATCTGTTGATGAAGGCTGAACATTTGTAACAGTGGAAGCAGTAGTAGTGTCTGGATCTGGAGTTGTAGAAGATGTTGGAACTAGTCTGGATTGCTGTTGAGTACAAGAATCAACCTGCCTCCACCACTTTCTGTGATACACTCTCAACTCCCTGCATTTTTGACAACCTTCTTCACAACTCCCCACCTCAATAACCAGGACAGGTAAAGGAACTCTTGGAGCTGAAACTGAAATCCCTTCCTCACTATTCTCTCCCTGAGGAGAAGCCTTATGATAGTAAGGCATATCCTCAAAGAAGGTGACATCCATGGACACAAAGCGCTTCCCTGAAACTGGCTCATAACAGCAATATCCCTTTTGGTTTTGTGCATACCTAAGGAAAATACACTTAGTGGCTTTGAGATCAAACTTGGAGCGATGAGATCCAAGGATTTGAACAAAACAAGTACACCCAAAAGTTTTGAGGGGAATAGTGAATAGGTCATTATCTGAATATAGAAGATTGAACGGGGTTTGCATGTTTAGAACCCGTGAAGGAACCCTGTTAATGAGGTATATGGCTGTACGGATTGCATCTCTCCAGAAGCGTATGGGAACATTGGAGTTAAGCATGATGCTTCTGGCTACCTCTAAAATATGCCTGTTTTTTCTCTCCGCAACCCCGTTTTGCTAAGGTGTGTGAGGACAAATGCTTTGATGAATGATCCCATGATCAAGGAAATAGGATGCCAAGGGTTTTGCAAAGTATTCATTGGCATTATCAGATCTAAGAATCTTGATCTTGGTTTTGAATTGAGTTAGGATCATCTGATGGAAAACATGGGTCAAAGA